GATGCATTTAACCGAACTGAAATTAGTCACATGATGAAGATGGAGAGAAGGCAGTTTACAGCTTTTTATATACATTATCGGCAGGAGACAATGACCAGAGTGGCGAAATTGAGTTGTTTAGCCTGACTTACACAGGATGCCCCTTTATTAACGACACCGTTAACAGTGTTTATTCAGTGCCCTGCCTTTCATTGGAGATGATTTGTTTAGTGTCCGAATTTCTCTGACGCCACAGACAGACAGGTTTGACGGTGCCCGACCGCCTGAGGAGAGGACGCCGATGTGGGGGAGGGGTTTCTGCTCACAGGGCTGTGAAGGAGCTGAGTCGGCAGGGTCCTCCACGGAAGGCTTACCAGCTAATGCCCCCTGTGCCAGACTTGTGACGCCAGTCCACTTTTACTCCGCTGTTTGCACATCTGTTGCGTTTTACGAACACGCCCCGCCTTCCCGATGCAGATCCGTCACCGGCGGGGCCCAGAGAAGCGGGAAAGGGCCACATTCTCCTTCCCCACCGTGAGTCACCGTGAGGGTAGCAGGAGTGCGTGCGTTTGCCCGTGTTTGTTTAGCCTGTATGTTTAGGCACACGTCTCAGATCTAGGCTTCCGTGGCGTGACGTCAGAGCGAGCGGGTCGTGCCGATTCATGTCCAGCTCGGTGACCTACGGCGTGATGTTTTGCAGTGTAACTCTCACCAGGGAGAATGCTGTGAGGAAAGCCCAGTCAGGTGCTTTGTGTGGAATTTGTACCTGTCCGTGATCATGGTGCTGTCACAGCACAGGCGAGTCGGCGCAGTCCAGCAATCACGTGTACAGCTGCCTCCATCGGCATGTACTTCTCAGCTAATTAAGTGTCGTTAGCGGCTCCTGATGAGAAGTGGAGGCTACCCATCCATAATGCTATTTGGGGACATTGCTCGACACTCTGGCACGCTTTGTACGATACACGTTGTCGTGTTACCATAGAAACAGGAACCATTACGGTTGTTTTTCTCTGAATTACTCCGTAATGATCACTAAGCAACATCAGGGGATACGAGAGCTGTGGGCAAAGGGCTACTTAGTGAACATGAACTGGTTTTTGGACTGAGAAAACTCTCAAATTTCGAGTTCCTGTGTATCCCAGTTGTGTAAAGGCGCCTTTAATTCTACCTGTTCTCATTGCTTCCACAACGCAACCCCCCCCCCCCAACTGTAATTTTCACAAAGGCGGACTTGGTGTTGGGTCTCACCCCCGGGAGCTTCCACTGTCAAGCAACTGTCCCCCCAAATCTGCTCTCTAAGTAATGTGAGAAGCTGAGATAGCAGGCAGTCATGCCCCCCCCCCCCCCCCCCCCCCCCCTTTACCAAACCCTCTTTCTGTGGAGTGATCGCCTTTATGTAAATAGGCCTGTTAAACAGCCATTCCAGTGCCTTCCATTATCTGCGTGGCGTGTGAGTAATAGAGGGTTACCTGTGAACGGAAAGGGCAGGCAACATAATGGATGCGCAGAATTATAATATTTGTTCCCCTTGATCGTTAACTATAAACCTCTCAAATGATCCACCTTATTATCCCAGACAAATGGACGTTTGGCGGCTGAAGCGTTTCAGTCACTTAAACCGGCAGAACAGAGCCGCTGAGCTTGAGTGGGGAAGCAGCGTGACATAATTACCCAGTGCTCGGTTGTGACACTTCAGCCAGGGGTCAAAGTTCACTGGCCGTTTTTTAGGTGCCAGACTGACTATGGCGGCACGTTTTTTCTTAATACAATCATTTTATAGCTAATATATAATCCATGATGATGTATATTTGCATATTTTTATTATGTCACAACTGCTTTCTTGCTGGGTGACATTTCAAGCGCATTGTGTGGACTTACAATAGAAAACATTCACTATAAAGACATCGTGGCTGTTTTCTGTCATTGTCTGCTGACAGATTTAAAGCCGCAGACAGTGCTAAACAGATGTTCTGACTCAAGGCCTCCGTATCAGCACTGGCTGTAAATTACTAAGCTTCTGATTGATAAAATTGTAAATCACTTTATTCCAACATGCCGGCTCACTCTAGTTTCATTTTACGCACCTGTAATGCGTCGCAAAGTTCTTCAGGCAGAATATGAGTCAGTTTATGCTTTGGGGCAACTATGTTGGGAAAGACAGCTAAAAATAAGCAGGAATGAATTGATCGGTATGAGGCCACGTGGGCCAACTGCTGGCTGAACGCTAATTTTTTTTCACAGAAAACAGGAAAGACAACACATTAGATTACAGGGTGCAGTGGCATTTGTGGGAAATGTCGACACACCCATTGAGAGCACACTCTGTACGCCCCCGAGGAGCCACGCATCACGTATCGCATTTAAAAACCCAGAATCGTCTTGCGATGTGCAACCGGGGAGTTGAGGAGCGAGGCAGTTCGAGGCCAAGGCAGGACGGAGATGAGGGGCGACGGGGAAGGCGCTCGCCACATGGGGGCGCCAGGGGCATCGCCGTCAGCGGCGTCACTGGCATGCCTGTCTGTTAATTGGAATGAAACAGCGGAATGAAGCGGCTCTCTCGGGTTTCTCTCACGCCCTTCCTGACTCGGGCTCTAAACCTGCTGGAATCTTTCAGCATGACACTCGGTGGGGCTCGTCATGTGAAAACAAAGGTAACGCGATTCTTTGATGCTCAAAGGACTGGCAGCGATTTACAGAGACGCCGTCTGATACAGAGTGCTGAGGTGATTGGATGAGCACATCGCCGGGGTGGGGGGGGGGGGGTTGGGTCAGCAGGACCAACCAGCTTAGGCTCATACGTAGATCACCTGACCATTTGGGTCCATCGTATCTAGAATATTGGGTCACTGTCACCTGGCCATTTGAGTCCATAGTGTCTAGAATATTTGGTCACTCTCTCCTGGTTGTTTAGGTCAATCATATCTAGAATAGTTGGGTTACTCTTACTTGGCCTTTTGGGCCAATTCTATCTAGATTATTGGATTATTCTCATCTGGCTATTCAGGTGTATGGTATCTAGAATATATGGGTTATTCTGACCTGGTCATTTGGGTCCATCTAGAATATACTGGATATCTAAAATATCTAGAAAATCAAAGTAAGCAATCACAAGAAAACAATTTTAACAGGGAATATGAATATGGATATGAGACAAATGAATCTCAATTGAATCCTTTTGTTTGTAAAAAAATCCTAAGAATTAAAACATCATTAATTTTCTGGAGAAAGCTACATAGTATTTGTTGCATCTGTGAGCCCAATCTTAAGCTTATACCTTATAAAAACATGCCTCACACGAAAACCAACAGCCATTCTCAAGGCCTCGCTAATTATTTAAAAGCTTTTTTCCATTCATTTTCAAACCTCTGAAAATTCAACTGGATCCATTTTCTTCATCTTAGATGGTTGGCATTTTTTTATGAGACCATGATAAAACACCCAGGGGTGGGACGTCCTTCACGTGTCCTGTCCTTCTGCAGTCACTTGTTCATCAGTATCATGCTACAGTAATCTGCAGAGTTGCCGGCAGCCATTAGTCCCAGATTCATGTCATCTTCCTCCTGACTGTAAAGGATGGGTTTCACTTGTCAAAACCTCCTGTAATCTAACAAGAAGTGCATCTCGGGCTGCACTGGTGAAACTTTACTCTCACGCATGGTCCGGAAGCAAAGCATTCTGGGTACAATGGTCTGATCCTACGTGCCACGTTGTCTAACGTGCTGGTATTCCTCTCTGACCCTTAACTCCAGGAAGTGCCAGACTATTACTTCACATCTAGTCTTTGGTCTTCAAAAATCAATTAACTCAACAATGGCATGTAATTAATGGTGGCGTGGAATTTTTAATAAGAGGATCTTATTACAAATCCAGATCTGCATATCAAGAATTTGGTTTATGTTGGATTGGCACCCTGTCCTGGGCTATTCCCTGCCTTGCACCCATAACTTCCAGGATAGGCTCTGGACCCCTGCAACCCTACATCGGACAAGTAGATATAGAACAGGGGTGGGGAACCTGTTCCATGGAGGGCCGGTGTGGGTTTTTCATGCAGCTCCATTCCAAGATGTTAGCAGTGATGCCCAAACTAGTGTTCCCAGAGATGATCGAAGGTATGGACTGAAGAGCGAGGTGAAGGAGTAGATAGATGAAAAGACGACAGGAAGTGAGGGTTCAGTCTTGAGCCAGTCACACACGACATACATGGGTTAAATGCACCTCTCAAGCACACCATCCCTCTCAAACCTCTGCAGAGTGTGAACATGCCTTCCTGATTGACTGTTAGCATGATGGTTTCACTGGTGTTACTGTGTTCCATTGTGCCTCTCCTTTGATATATTCCAGAATACAGAATCATTAGCAGTATGATAATCCATTTTCTCAGCCTGCTGTTCATTCTTTTGCTCTCTCCCCCCTTTCTTAGGTTTTCTCAAATCAGCCTCATTGTTTACAAATAACTTCCTGGATTGTCTCCCTTTATGGCTCATTTCCATCTTTATTGCATGAAATAAATTTTGTTGCTTCCTCCTAGACAAGTTTATCTGATATTTCTTGCATTTTTCACGGAAACATAAATGCTTTTTAACTTGGAATGTGTCAAGAACAGAAGGCCAGACAAGTCCTTTATATCTCCTTTTGAATGATTTGAGGCTTAAAAAAGGGATTTTGGCTTGCTGGCGGTTTCTGTTGGTATTTAGCGTGACGCTGGTTGGGGAGATCCCAATGGCGTTGATAGGTTTGTTGTTAAATCCTGTTCTGTTATCTGTCCAAAAGCTTTTGTTTTCCTTGTGAAGTACCGTCTCTCCATCATGGCATCCTCCAGTTACATTCATTCACCCTTATTAGTGCCACGATAGGGAGCCTTTTCCAGGTCATGGCTCCGTGGAAAGGGGTGCAAACACAGGGTCTGCATACCTGTGCTTTCAGTAGGGGGTGCTTTGGGAGATCTGTCTATCTGTGCTGCAGCCAGAAGGAGGCACTGTGTGTCAAAAATCACTAGGCTCAAACTGTGTGTCTGCCCTCAGCGTTGCTGCAGGATGAGGTGGCCCAGCTCAAGGAGGAGGTGCATCTGCTGAAGCAGATGAAGGACATGCTGAGCAAGGAGCTGCAGGACTCCCCTTCTGAGGTGCTGTCCACCACCGAGCTCCGGGTGCAGCTGGAGCAGAAGGAGCAGGAGCTGGACCGGGCCAAGGAAGCGCTGCAGGGTAGGACCCCCAGCCAGCCATTATCCTCCCCCTTCTCTCTTTCTCCTCCCGTGTATGTAAGACCCCTCCCCCTTCTCTCTCCTCCCCTTTATATGAGACTCCTCCCCCTTCTCTCTCCTCCCCTTTATATGAGACTCCTCCCCCTTCTCTCTTTCTCCTCCCTTGTATGTAAAACCCCTCCCCCTTCTCTCTTTCTCCTCCCTTGTATATAAGACCCCTCCCCCTTCTTTCTTTCTCCTCCCCTGTATGTGTGACTCCTCCCCATCCACTCTCACCCGGCCCCTTAATGAAAGACTCCGCCCCATTCAGCTGTGCCCTGCCACCCCTTCATGGACTCTGCTGCTCCTGTTCCACAGCCCCTCCCCCACCAGTTACATAATTTCTTTGCCTGATGTCAGGTCGCACACATCGGATGGGAATGTCCAGTTACACGTATGATACTGACGTTACTCGATGTTGCGCAAAAATGTTTTTGCCACATGTATCTAATCAACTGTGTTACATAATATTGAGTCATCTGCTGCTTGTCACGTCACATTTCAGTTTGAGAAATTCAAAAACACGACATGAGGCTACATTTAGTGTTTTCCTCCATTCCTGAATGATAGTTGCCTTTATAAGCCAGTGAAACACAGATATTCCTTCCTCATACCATTCCCACAGTAGCTCTGTTTAGTATTGGTCTGGGGTGTTATTGAATTATGTGTGTGTGTGTGTGTGTGTGTTTGTTTTTTATAAATCAGGTTGCACAGTAGCCAAACACATGTCTGCAGACATAGGGGTAATGAAAACCAAGATAAGCATTATTAAAATGACTGTCTAACAGGATCATCTCTCTCGGGGATAGAGGCACTCCACTGCAATTCCACAGAATGTAAACAGCTTGACACCATCCCCGATCTGTCTTATGTCCTGTTAGCACAGTCACAAACTCGAGTAAGTCGGGTATCTCTGCATGAGGCACCACTAGAAGAAGGTGTGAAGCGTTTAACACCAACACTGTCTTACTCTAACTTACAAGTCAGTGTGTCTGGGTTTAAGTGTCTTCTTCCATCCATGCAGCTGAAAACCACCTGAACCCTTACAATCAGGAACCACGTCTGTCCATTTCTGAATGTCTGTAATTTGGCTTTGTCACCTGGAATACATGTGACTTTCTGTTGGCTTTTAATTGGTTGGTTTTAATTTGATATTCCATATTCCATTCCATTTGTTTGTTTTTTTTGTTGGATGAGCTAAAGTGACATACCACTTCCCTTTACCATTTTCTTTCTAGGGTCTTAGGAAGCCATGAGGTTTTCCTGAAAATGGCGGCTTATAGTAGTTAAAGAGTAGGGAGTGTGCTACAGTAGTTACGGAATGCTCTGAGGTCTGCCTGCCTTTTCCTGTCAGTCTGTTTGGAAGCAAAGTCCTGATTTGCGAGCCTTTTTCTCAGTTTTTTTTTTGTTAGCCAAGAAGATGGTGGCCGTCTCCCACTCGCAGCCAAATTACCGCAGGGAAAGAGCCCTTCATGCGGTTAAGGCTGGTCAGACTGGCTGCTCTTTTCAGAGTATCAGTGCTTGGAAGCCCACAGTGGCTTTTAGCTCTTCTTGTATCCTCATCGAGCCCAGCTGAGGTTTGTTTGGCTTGGGCTCACATCAAGGGTTCTGTTAGCATGTGGCTAAGGGAGCAGGTGCTTGGGCTGATGCTTGCAACCTCGCCCTCCTTTCCGAAGGGCAACTTCATGGATAACATGTACGCCATGTGACCCAACTGCCCACATTCGTTGAAAACATTTACAAGCCACCGTCCCATTATGGCATAAGATAATTATGTGACCAAAGGGGGAGGCCATGTCTGTTTATCTGTCTGCAGGCTGCTGTGAAGGTAGCATTTTACAGGCACCCTGTCAAGCACACAAACAAGACAAGTACGAACGTGAATGGACGGATTCGGGGAGGGGGGGGCACTCCACCTCCCTGCTCAGGTGAAACAGGTGCGAGGCTCAATGGAATTAGGACTGGTGTGGCAGGAATGGCGGAACTGGGGCGTTAAAAGAGAAACGTCTGCAATCCAGGAATGACTAGCGATCAAAACCAGGGCGGCTTTGCTTCACAAACGGAAAAAAATGGACAAAAATCAGTTAAGATATTGACTTAAGTTATTGACTTAATCACAAACTTACTGATTTTGTTTCTATGTTATGTGAGTGGTTAGGAGAGTATCAGCAGAAGGTTAATCAGGCAGACCACTGGTCCTCATTTTACCCCGGAAAAGCCCCGAAGCCAGCAGCTCCAAGGTGGGTCAGCGGGGTGGGTCTGGAGGGATGTTAGGACACTCCTGATGGGGCCGTGTACTTTCACAGTGATTTTGGCAGTCTTCGAGCGTTTTTTTTTTTTTTTTTGCTCCAGTAATTTATTCTCTATTTTTTAAAGGGGTCTTGTCCTCAACTCCATTTTCAGTATTAAAGTCCTTTTGTTTGATTAAACCCTCCATCCTGGTTTTTCGGAAGATCTCTGCCGCCCGGCTTTCAGCAGCCAGCCTTTTAATACGTATAATCACACCTGCGTGCTTCAGGAGACGGGCTCATTTTTGGCTGTCTGGTCATCAATAGTGTTTCCGCGGCGTTCCTCTTTATTGGAATCAGGGGGTCACAAAGCTACTGCTTCACCTCCTGGTGACCTTCAAAAACTGATGGTGAGCCTCTGTCTTTTGCCGTTCTTGAGTGCGGTATCACAAGGCGGAAATGAATGCTTCATAAAAATATTAGGTACTCAGCTGGGAAGCCTTTCATAACATCTCTAAATATTTTTCGCCTAGTTGAGCCAATGTGCTACAGGATGTTAATTTCTGTCCTGTAATTGTAAGGTCTTCAATTACATTCTTATAATCAAGACAGCAAATTTGTTTTTGTGAGGTTGTTCGAAGAAGCGACACCAAGGGGTCTAAATGTGGCGGACAGTGCCCCCTGGTGGTTATGCTGCATATCGACGTACATATTTGCCCTGTGACTGTATGCAAACAGCAGAAGCAGCAGCTGCACTGTGGCAGCACCGCCTCCTGCCAGTTATAAATGCTTAGAACCAAAGAGGATCCATTCAGATCCACATGCTCCAGCCCCAAAGCATAAGCCCAGTTTGCAGCTGGTCTGTGCTCTTGTACGCCAGGTGGACGTTTGTGTTTAATTCCTGTACAGTTAGCTATTCTTGTCGCATTTCAATTACGTTTTTCGCAGCCCCAGCCGCTGTCAGGTTGCCCGCAGAGCCGCGCTGATGTGTTGCGACTCCTAACGAGGCTGTAACGTCAAGCTGAGTTTCAGTCAAGGTTGTTTAAAGGAGGTGTTACTGCAGGTCGGAGTGCACCATAGCTGTGTTTCCTTACTTCATTGGCTGCCAGGTCACGGACGGCAGCAGGAAGGTACTAATGCCTTCATTAATGCCAGTATGCCGCCCAGCATGTACAGCCCTGCTGAGCCAGTCACCATGGCAGTCTAGGGGCACGCCCTTCACACACAGCACTATAGCAAAGTGAAGGCAGGTTTGCTGCAGGCATCCAATTAAGGGGTTAATCTTTCCCTTCCCAGTAAAAGTGCCCACTGTTGTCAGATATTCTGCTGTTATGGAAACGCACTGAAGCACATTCAGAAATCCTGCTTTTGAGGATTGACTGTTCGTGAAAAAATATATTCAGGTATATGTCTGAGATGCTGAATGGTGATCTTGTGCTTCCTGTAATTGGTAAACGCGGGGTGGTCATCAGAAAGATGGCCATCACTGCACGGCACTGCGTACTGGGGCATGGTGAGTCCCAGCTGGGGGACACTGGTGCTGTCATTGGTTTGAGGGAATCTCAGGCCTGTGCTGAACACGGTACCGAGGGTTTTACTCTTTGGCAAAGGGGACTGTTGGACGTCACTGCTGGCTGAGGGGGTCTGACGCCGTCTCTGCGTCCGCAGCGATGAAGGCGGACCGGAAGCGGTTAAAGGGGGAGAAAGGAGACCTGGCCAGTCAGATGCAGCAGCTGTACGCCACGCTGGACAGCCGCGAGGAGCAGCTGAGGGACTTCATCCGGAACTACGAGCAGCACAGAAAGGTGGGTCTTCCACAGGCGGCCCCCAAAATGGGAAGCGTCTCTCGCCGCCATACACCGCGGATCCTGATAGGGTCGCCAACCTTCCCGCATTGGACTGGAGATTCAAGAACTGGAATGTGGTCTCCCAAGGTTATGCGATTTAAGCAGGAGTATTGAATATATAAACGATACTGAAAATCATTTGGATCATATAAAATCATATAATGTATAAATATTGGTGTTATTTCTTAATGTAAGTGTATACTATATCTGTAATATTAAAAGTTATTTTTGGTTAAAAAAGAAAAACAAAATGGTGAGATCTACGCATCTTGGCTTAGGTACGCCACGTTTGTCTCAGGATCCGTCCTCTCTCACGTGTCTCTGAGACCCTGCAATCTCGCATTTCTTGCAGTAACTTTTAAACGTTTCAGTGCTGTTAGCTTTGCATTTTTAATAATGGACCCAAGTATTATTCACAAATTTTCACGTTCACAGGGATCTTCCGTTCCTAACCTTCACGAAGGTGAAGTGACTATATAAAAAAATGAATAAATAAATGATACAATATAAATATTTGTAAGGTTCTGAAAGGTTCTGCGATGGCTTGGCGCCCCGTCATGGGTTGTTCACTACCTTGCGCCTGTAGCGTCCGGGATAGGGTCCCGACCCCCCCGCAACCCTGAATAGGATAAGTGGTTACAGAAAATGGATGGAAAGACTCACGCAATCCCTTATGGAATCATTTTAACAGGACTGGCTATCAGATTCGCGATGCATTATGAAAACAATTGCACACTAGCTAGTGAGCTACTAGCACACCTGTTGCATAGCTAGTACTGCTATCGGATTAGTTTTGAATTAGCTATGTAGTTAGTGACCCCCCCCCAAAAAAAAAAAAATTCTGAAGGAACCCTGTCAGATGGAGCTGGCAACCCTAGATGTTGACATCTAACATCTCAACCCTGTTGACTCCTATCCTCAAACATCCTCCTGATCGCAGTCAGCAGTGGCTCTGCTCTTCCTCCCTGGAAAGAGTCTCTCGACAGCCTCTGTGTGCACTTACAGGAGAGCGAGGATGCGGTGAAGAATCTGGCCAAGGAGAAGGACCTTCTGGAGAGGGAGAAGTGGGACCTGCGGAGGCAGGCCAAAGAGGCCACGGAACATGCCAGCACACTCCGCTCCCAGCTGGACCTGAAGGAGAACAGGATCAAGGAGCTGGAGGCTGAGCTGACCATGGTGAGAAGCTATGCGGCAGGAAACTGCCTGCCCTATTTCCATATCTCACTTCACACTCATCATCTAGCTAATCCAGATTTCTTCCTCATTTGTTGCACATAATATTGTTGTCTGCATTGAGTTAGTCTCCTTTTCCCTACTTAACTTTCAACCAAGCATCTCACTCTGTTCCTCTGCCTGTGTGGTTTAAAAAAAGCCTTAAAAACTCCCTGACTCCGGGTTTTGTACGATTACCCAGCTTTCCCCATCCACACCTCTACCGGTTATTTCCTGCTGTTACTGTAGCCTGATTGACTATATAAGTGTTCATAAGCCTCCCTCCCCCCCAGGCCAAGCAGTCGCTGGCTACGCTCACCAAGGATGTGCCCAAGCGGCAGTCGGTGGCCATACCTACGGATTCGGTGGTGAACGGGAGCCAGGAGTGGGTGCTCCACCCCGACCTGCCCCTGACCGCGGCCATCCGGCAGAGCCAGCACACGCTGTACCAAGGGCACCCGGTGCACACCGTGGACAGGCAGGGTGGGTCAGCATCGCATATACACTTGGTGCCGCGGGAGTGCAGTCACAAGTGATCCCGCTGACTGCCGTCCCCGGGCACCGTCCCCGGTGTTCTTGCCGTACCTCGCAGAAACACCCTGCTCTGTTTCCCTGCCTGGCTTTTGAGCTCCTGCCCCCCCCATGTCTCTTGCGTACCACACATGGCCTGAAACGGAATGTCTGTCTCTTTCGTGTGTCCGGTCCACAGCAGCGGTCAGGATCAGCCCCGCCCACTCGCGGCAGGCTTCCGTAATCTCTGACGCCTCGGCCGCCGAGGGCGATCGCTCGTCCACACCGAGCGACATCAACTCGCCCCGGCACCGGACTCACTCCCTCTGCAACGTAAGACCGCACCCAGCTGCTCCCCACATCATGCCCCCCCCATCCCACCCCGGGCGACTCAGGGTTTCCCCCAGGAACCATGTTAGCAAAGCCATTGCGGTCGTCCAGGAAACGGAGACGTCGCAAAACATTTCAAGCTCCTAAGCAAAGTCATTAACCAGGGAGGGGCAGGAACTTTTGAGAAAAAAATGTGAGGCATGCAGCCTGGTAATTTTACCTAGAAGGGCTGGTGTGGCTGTATGTGACAGGCGGGGCCACTTTCCGTGCCTCCAGACTCCGGGGGAAACCCTTCGCACAGTCAAACCCAGAGATAAGTAGTCAGGAGAAACTCCAGCGATGCAGACATTCTGCGCCATGTAACTCGCCATGTAACTCTGCCATGTAACTCGCCATGTAACTCTGCCTGTTACTTTTGAGACTGTGCTTCTTTCATCTGTAATGTTGCTTACAATCTGTCAGCCATACATTTTCAGTTTTTATACGCTACTGCCAGAAATGAGGCCATATTTATTTTATTTTTATTATTTTGTTTTTATTTTTTATTTATTACATACTTAGAGGTGAATTTCTTTAGCCTGGGTTACTTACACTGTTATCTAATCTGAATAAAAACCCTGTCAATAACATACAGTACTGGGCTAAAGTCTTAGGTCGTCAGAGAAAACTTTTGTTAATCGTTTTTTTCTGGGAAATATGTGTATAGTTGCTCAGGAAAAACATTTTTTCATATTATAATATATACTAATAAACATTATTACAATAAAGAGGAACAATTTTTCTTCTGCTCTCCAGACAGTTACTGATATCTAGTTGTATGGCTAGATGAACCTCGCTTCAGTTCCCAAGCCTCTCCTCAGGGGCACCTCAGCCATTCCACGTATTTGTTACATTTCACCACCAGCTCACTTAAATAACAAACTTAAGTTAGTTTGTCAGTTAATAAACTTCATGAGGTATTGGTGTGCTGCTGGTCAACCTAAGTAAATAAACGAGTACCCTGGAAGGACTGGGGAGTGACTCGAGGAAAGATTTTGAAATGGTACACTGACACACTTCAACAGACGTAAAATCGTAGTTTTATATCAATATGAATATTATATAAAGATCATTTTCTCTGGCAGCCCAAGACTTTTGTACAGTACTCTATACCAGTACTTTGTTAACTTTGAATAACTCAATTTATGAGAAAGAAAAAAAAAACGGACTTCTAGAACTTTACTTTATTTTATTGCTATAATGATTATCAATTGTTATTATTTTGTTTGTTTTGTGACTGTTGTTGTAGCTTTATATTTCTTGATTTTAAACCAGTGCCTTACAGCCCTGATCTGGCCCCGCGTGCAGTCAGATTAATTAGGCTCTTTCAGCATGGTGGACCCACGCCCTGTGGCCCCCGTTAGACGCAGACTGAGACATGAGCCTGTTTCCACCCGCTTTCTCCATTCCTCTGTCTCGCGTCTCCCCTGCCTCTCCCTCGCTTCCGCCGTCCCGTCGCCGCAGTCGATGGAGGACCTCGACGACCAGAGGCGTAAGAAGAAGAAGGAGAAGATCAGCCTGGGCTCTCTGTCACGGGTGTTCGCCCGCGGCAAGCAGCGCAAGTCCATGGACCCGGGCCTCTTCGACGGCACCGCTGCTCCGGAATACTACATTGAGGAGGACGCTGACTGGTGACACCATGACGATGGCGACCAGCCGCATGTACATAGTATACATAAACACCATATAAATAAACATAAGTGTGCGTCTAAAGCTATATTTGCATATATTGTTTTTATATGTGTTTATATATACAGAACTGTATATATACACAGAGCTATTGTGTGTGGATATGTTTAGCTGTGGTTAAAAAAAATTATTTGTCTGTATATATTATAATGTTTATTTTTTTTAACTCAGAACTTGAAGGACTGTTGTGTATTTTGTAAATATCAGTCACTGTAAATTCTGTGTTTGTAAATGTATTTTGTTCAGCATGCCTTTTAATTTTCCTTTTATACATTTTATAAGGCACTTCTATTGCTCCCCCCATAATTATGGTGTAGCCCAGTCGTCCCCCCCCCAGAATGGTACGCTCCCGCCGCTGTTTCTGTGTGGGCTCTATGTTTAAGTAATCAAATCGAACCTATGACTGTGTCCAAATCTGAATTGGTTGGGCCAGAACCAACAGTCATTGCCTGTGGCCGACGCATGAAAAAATCCCTCATCTTCAAAAGACATCCTGACTGAACATTTCAAAATTCCATGTGGGAGTAATTATTTAGTAATTATTTGCAAGTATTCATGGTAAAATGTGGGTGTTTTGCCCTCTGGGATAGGAACAGTTTTGCATGATGTAGCAAGAGTGGTTTTCAGTTTGAAGCAGAACATCCAGGCTTTTAGAAGCTGTAGGACTGGTCCGAACCCACAGTCTATGGGCAGGACACAGAAACACAGAACAGTGAACGGGGGGTGGTGGATGTACTCTGCGTGTGTGTGTTTTGGGGAAATAACTAACCGGCTATAGAGAAAGGAGGGGCACCCCTCCAGGATAAAACGTGAACTGCACTTTGATCACCCCCTGACTTTATTTTAGTGGTTTTCCCGCATTCAGAGTCCTGTGACAGATGCCTTCTGCTCTGTCTGCTGACACGCTGATGGTCAGGTGGAGACAGTCCGCTTCTCGAAGACCTCCAGCCCATTCTGTCTGTCTCATGTTTACATGAACTGCTTTTGGCTTCTTTTTTTTTACACCGAAATAGAACAGCAGTTTGTGAGAGATAAGGGGTAGGTTTTTCTGCAGAGTATTCAGGCTAAATCCATCTTCCTCTCCCTGCTGAATAAACGGCATCTGTTTCTGGAATGGTAAATGGTGATTGTGCTAATTAGGAGCCGTGTATTTTGGAAAAAAAGAGTGTTTAAGCAACAGATTTGAGGATTATTTATTGCGAGTCACTGTGCCTTCATTGCAAATCTGTCTCGTGCACTGTGGAAGCGATGGGGGGGGGGGCAGACAGGTGCATCTGCAGGTATTTCTGTCTTTCGGTTTACAAATTTTGTGAAAACGTCCCCAGCAGGGCCTAAATCAGATGTTCTCGGGGAGGGTGCATTTCTGTTTGTGACTTCATCTGCTTTGAAAACATCTAAAAGTGCCAAATGTTTTGTTTATCATTTGTCACCTGCTTTTGCATTCAGGGATTATTAAGTAGCATAAAACGAGATTCAAAAAGATGTCCCCATAAAAGTAAGAATATAAATGTGTGTGTGTGTGTGTGCGTGTGTGTGTGTTTATGGTATTGTGAAAGCATCCTAGTCATCTGGTTTGTGATTATAGATTGTTCCTACTTCGGAAATTCTAGACATTATATGTTTGAGTACAGGCGTAAATCATGTCTGTGCGTGTGTGTGTGTGTGTGTGTGTGTGTGTGTTCGTTCGTTCCTCAGCATATCCTTCCCTAATTCAAACCAGATTCAGCATCGCATAACAGACACTGTCGAATGCCACGGCGACACCAACCCCACAGATAAGAATAGTTGTTAATTAAAATGGAATCCCAAACAAAGACGTGCCAAACAGTGTTTAATGAAAAGCGGAGCTGTTTCTCACCCTGCATACAGCTGCTTTGTCTCTCGTCTGATGCCCAGCCCTGCCTTGCCTTAAAGCAGTCTGTCTTTGTTCATTCCCCACCTGATGTGTGGAATAAGGTGCGTTTCGGGAGTGAGTGTTAGATGAACAATGTAATTAAATCGTTTGTTTCATTCGCTGTAAAGGCACTGACAGTTTTGGTTTTTTTTTTTTTCTTCGGGTAAAATAGCATAATTTTAAACATAATTTCTGTATTTCAATTCAGTGGATAATTTTATGTTGTATGTTTTGTAAATTAGGAAATATTGATGAGATTAAATATATTAGAGTTTTATTTAAAGAACCGGAAGGAAGGAATGTCAATAGCTTAGTAGCTAAGGAGCTGTTTGCACTCGGACCTCTGACCTCTCTGTTGTTTGGGGTGAAATGGACTGTGGTTTCTCAGCATGGAAACCCGTGACATAAATCTAATGAAAGACTTATTTTGAAATAAAATGAAAGACCGAACCTTGGCGTGACTTCTTTTCATCCTGTGCCGTTTCGTGTGGCCCTGTGCCGTTCCCTTCCAGGACAGAAGGTTCTCTCTTTACACGGAAATCTCTGCAGTGGCTGCAGTGTCTCCTGTAATCCAGGGGGGCGACGTACCCTGGTCACCTCAGACGGGTTAATACGAGCTTTCGGGTGGGAACTCAGCTTGTGTGGGTGTTGCTTAACAGCTATGCAGCCACATACAGGCTGAATTGGTCAACAGGAACACTCTTTAATTACTGTAGTCATGGTGATATGAAGGAAGAACAAGCTGTATTTTTTTCTGCTTATTCCCTCCCTCTCTCCCCCTGTCTGTCTTCTCCTGCAGTTCTATATATTTTTCTGTCTTTAGGGTAATAATTTTGTTCTGTAAACCACCTGCAGGCCCCTTAAACCGGCTTCTACGAATTCTCAACTGGATGCTTCATCGTTTCGGGCAGCTTTGCCGTACCACATCCCCCTTAAACACCAGTGGTTCTGATTAATGACATGACAGTCACTGTAAATAAGGTTCACACCATTTCATGTGTTCATTGCAGATATTTCCTCACAGGTACTATGAAGAAAAAAAGCTCTTTTTACGCCCTTCCCTGCAATGGTGCAAATAAGGGCCCCCTAGCTGAGTCCCCCAATGCCGACCAAGTCACACCTTCCTCTTCGTGACAGTGACACACCTTTAATGACATGCTTTCAGCATCTCAGTGCCATCAGCCCTTCTGGTGAACTTCCTTCCCACAAACCATCTCTCATTCTCCTTAAACTTCAGTTTCTCTGCTCAAAACGAGACAGAAGGAAAAGTCTATATTTCAAATGCTTTGTATAAAACGCTATTTTCTTACATCCCTAGCCTCCCTTCAGCTGTCAGAGGTACTGTGTTTGTTCTGCCAGTGTCTGAGCTATGAACTCCTCCTATGAGCAAGGAAACTGTGTGAAAGCCCCGATTTAAACTTTTCACAAGGCAGACTAGCATATAAAAACAGGCTTGAGTATAAATTGAGGGTAATTTAGATATTAAAAATATTGAAAATGATTTGGTTTTTATAGACCTGTAGTATTTTCAGTTGTGGCATTCACTGCAGTTAATTTCCTAATAGAATTCTGTTTGTTGAAATATTTAAACGTCTGGAATTTTTAAAAAACAATTTGAATTTTGGAATGTAAGAATTAAAGCATAGAATATTTAGGTTTTATAATAGATTTTGGAATATTTATATTTTGTAATTGTTATTTAGAGCTGTTTGTTTTGTTTTGTGGCTATTCTAGTAATACATCTCTGTACCGCTGTCTTCTGCCTGTTTTGACATATTCCTCTCAGACACTACCCCTCCCACCACTAGAGACCAGTGTTTTATTTATATCACAGTGTACTCAGCTGTTCAAATGTTGTTAAGCTGTTTGAGAATCCAGCTTGCTTGGCTGCATGGTGGACAAGAAGAGGAAGAAGAGGGATAGTGATTTGCACTTTCAGAAGATCAGGTAAGCTTGGGCAGTGCACTTTAAGAGAGGTCAGGTCTTAAATATTACACACCTGAAAAAAATAGCTATTTTGGACAGATTTGGCAAAAGCCCAGTATTTCATGTCTCTCGCAGGTCAGAGCATAAGATTTCTTGTGACATTGAAAAAAGTCGATTGATGTTCATTTGAGCCCTCAAATCTCTGCAGATACCCAGTACTGATTTGTCAAGATTCATTGGTGTTCTTGGGCCGTTCCAGCAAAGTGGGACTAACTGATAGGGCCCCAGGAAAAGGACAACTTTTCAGTCAAATTCACTCTTTACAAATTTACATTATTTAGATACTTACACACTTGGACTTCCCGGTACTCACTGTGCAGATGATGAGGCTCTATCAACAACGTGATATTACTGTACCACCACCTAGTGGCAGCTCGCTGGAATCACACTCTACAACTAGTTTCATGTCCACAAATTGGTCTGCTGGATGAGTTTTTATTTTCTGGCTCATATTGGATGAAATTAACCAGGACAGTACCGTCTTCCCAAAAGAACTGAATTGTGATGCTGACCTGTGGCGTGTTGCAGCCAAGCACTGACTGTCCATCTCAGCATCTAGAAGTGGCATGTGGGGCACGATGTATAGGGAAGGGGGGGGGGGGGCCCTGCCATGGGATTTGGCAAACAACAGTATTTCAAAAAGAGGCGCCATTAATGTTATCTTTCAAATGACTTGTTACAATAAACACTGGCTTCTGCTTAAGAAAAACAGGCATTTTTTTACAGCTTGGGCAAGAGAAGACAGGCCTCTTAACTGGCTTCCGCTGGTCATCAGATAGTAGAATGAATGTCTCTCACTGGGAAACCATGAGGCTTCCTATCTCCTCCCATTTCCACGACACTTCCGTCCCCCCGCAGCTGACAAAAGGTGGGGGGGGAGGGATCAGGATACCTTTTCTGTCCACAGCTGGGCGTCACTTTCTCTCTGCTGCCCGTGTAAATATAAACCGGTTTGTTTATGTTCCTCGCAGCAGAAAAGCAGATGATGGACCATCAATGAACCATGACAAGAGCTAACATCTGTAAGAAGAAAAACCGCTTAGGCATTAGGGCCCACGGCTCCTGCCCAGGTATAATCTGGCTCACAGCATGTAGGCTGCTATGATGAATCTCATCAAACTTCCCAGCTTGCCTCGACCCCTTCCAAAGCACCCAAAGCAGAACGCTGTGACAACTCATCGTCTGTGTGAACCGAGCCACTGACCCGTTAAGAGGTTTGTTTTGGAAGGGCGGCAGTCAATCTCGTGAGAATGTGACTGTAGAGCTTCTCTGACGCCGGAAAATAGAGAGATGGACGACGGACTCTTTTTAAAAACTGCCTCGCAGACAACAGCGGCGAAGCTATCTCCCTACTGGCTGGTCCGCTGGAGAGACGAGCTACCGGCCAAGATGTAAGACTGTGATGGTTCATGCAGGATGATACTTTACCAGAGGCATGATGACCATCTGGGACATAAAAAATAAGACCTTTGTTGGCCCCGACTGTTAATCACCTCTGCAGATGAGTGTGAGCACAAGACAGGCAGTAAATCACAGGACTAATGAGTCTTAAACTCATGGGTTTGGGGGTGGAGATAAGAGAGATTCCCTGCTGCTGGTCGGTCATTATACCACACAGAAAAGAAAAAGCAGTTGTCTTATTTGTACTTAATCTCTTGGTCATACACTAACCAGCCTCCTGCCTTGGGTGTCCCCTGATGACTGTGAATGACCCTATACTGGATAATTCTTTGTGGATGGATGAATGTACTAAAGGCATTACTTTAATATCAGAGTTTGGTCCCAGAGTTAACAGCACATAGAGGCTTCATAGCTAAAGAACGCTTGTCTGTCCTTAGTCTGGGCTGTTCTTCTGATGATGCGAACCTGGAG